ACACAGCACAACGTGATCATGTCTTATGGGTTTAAATTTTTTGTTTGTTTGTTTTTGGGGGGTTTAAATTTTATAGAACTAAAATGTACTTCAAATAAGGGGGGGAGGGGGTTTAAAAAACAAAACCAAAGACTACCCACTGTCATTTAGTTGATTGTGACGCTAGTAACCCTACGTGCCAGAGTGTAACTGCCCCCACCCCCCAGCCCCTCCCCAAGCCCTCAAACCTGGTGGTGTGGTGGGTTTCTAAGACTATAACTCTTTACAAAGTAGACAGCCTCATCTTCCACCCAAGGGAGGGTATAGATGGAGTTAAAATTGTTCTAAATTCTTAGCATTGGCCAGAAGGAGAGTAAATATGTTGTTTTGTATGCAGGAACCCAACTTCTTTACTTAAAAAAAAGAAAGAAACCTTTTACCAAACAAACAAAACCCACCACTGTGTGGGCCCATCCGGATTTGCCAACGAGCAATTAACCAATGAGCAGGTAACCATTGTGGACTCGGGTCTGGTTTCTCCATGACATAGGCCAGTGGGTGCAGGGAGGGAGAATCCACCTGTACCCATCAAGCAGCCAGAGAGGAGACGAGGAACGCACTACCCATCCAGGAAGGTCTCCGTGTTGGACATCTGCCAAGGGAAATCGGCCAGACCCACCAGGGCAGAGAGGATCCAGTGAGAAGAAATCTGGAGACTAGGCAAATGCACAGAGACCAGCATGTTTGAGTGACTATCCGGGGCGGCGAACAGAGGCTGGAGGGCTGAAAGGGAGGATGGCAGATGTTACTGTATTCCAGTTAACGGCGATGAAAGTTGTGGAAGTGGATAACAGTGATCCAAAATATGGTGAACATAATGTCATTGACTTATACATATTTAAATGGTTCAAGGGGCCAGTGGTTAGATAGATGAATATATGTGTGTATATGTATATATATACACACACATATATGAATATATATTTCACAATGAAAAATTCTAAAGTGAAAGACAGATTTTACTTGAAAACCCTATGTAAGTATTTTTCTCCTCAGAGCAGCGGGAAGGCAGGGCTGAATTATCAGCCATGGTAAGGGTTTTATCTCAGAACCCTGTGGTAGGTCTGACAAGACTTAACATCACCAAGATGTATGAGTCACTCGCTCAGTTACAAAGATGTCAGAGGGGAAATGAGGAAAATCAGTCTCTATTCCCCTGGTGGAGGGTGGGGCAAAAGACCCCATAGCTACAGGACAAAATGTTCTTCTGGTGTAAATTAAAATGGCCTAAAGCTTCCTGGAATTTTCTCTTACTGATGCGCTCAATTAAAATAGAAAACCTGAGTTCTAAGAAGCATGAAAGACAAATTAAATGTCAGACAAACTAAATTACACATTTATCGACTGCTTCTTCGCTTTAGGGGGAAGGTTTATTAAGATGCCCCCCACCCCCACCCCAACAAAGGCAATTCTTCTTGTAAAGAAAGCCAGTAGCTGCAAGGTGATCAATATCCATCGGAATCTTCTCAGTAGATTCAGGCCAACTCTCGATGAAAGGTGTTTCAACATGTTAACATAAATTTTCTTGAAATGCCCAAGAAAAGGGCAAAGGATTCCTCTTATTTTCATAATGAATCCATCCACACGTGAACACATCTATATAAGGTATGGTTTCACGGCATTGGCCGTTGGCTTCTTTATTTTTATTTTTCAACAATTCTCTGCTTTGGCAAAACCTGATATGGAAATCCCAAGGAAACCAATTATGTCGCTGAGCTGAAAGACTGGCCAGGGTATATTGTATCCATCTAAAGAACTCTGCAGTCAGAAGTCTCATAAAAAGACCTTGAACATTACTGATCACAGCGTCCCCTGAGGATGGATGGCTCACTCCAGGAAACACACTGAGCATTTCTTCAGGGTGTCGAACTCTACCGAAAAGAGGCTGATCATTCTCTTTTCAGAAAGTCCACAGGGGCTTGTCGCTTAATAAGACCAGCGGGACTTGATGTGCTGCCACACTGTGATGTTACATGCAAGTGGGGGCCGGAAGATGCATTGAGTTGCCTGTGCAGCCCACAAACCTCCCTTTTGCCCAGTTATGCGACAATTACACACAAAGGCATCAATGGTTTGTTTCATCGACCCTCTTTTGATAGTAAAAGCACGATCTCTAAATATCCAAAATGCCTGCTGTATATCACAAAGTGGGACCTTCTGAAGCAACCTTTCACATTGAGGCGGGGCAAGCGTTGTCTCCTACCCAATCCAGCCTGGCGACAGTCGCTGCACTGTGTGTGGAAAATGGAGTACTAGATTTCTAACCTGGTTTTGACTGGCATGGAATGGCCGGCTCGTATGAATGGTTAACATGCTCAGATGCTAACCAAAAGGTTGGTGGTTTGAGTTGACCTCGGGCCTCAGGCCAGGAAATCTACTTCTGGGAGGGGGGGCGGGCCCGGGACAGCCCTTGAAAAACAGGGAGCTCAGGTCGACTTTGACACTCAAGGGGCCGCGCTAGTCAAAGTGACCTCATGGCAGCTGATCTGGCTGACTGAGATGAATTCTCCTGTGGCTGCCTTGTTTCAGGCTGGTAATAATATGGGGGAGTTGGCACTGACCTGAGGGGCATGGGTAAAGGGTTGGCTGAGTTGTACTTTTAATTAATTCTCTTCTATAGTTCACTCTAAATCTAGTAAGAATGTCTCCTTGGCGGTAGTAAACGTTTGCTTTTCAGAGCTTGGATTCTTATATGTTTTTCTGTCAAATCTTTTTTATGCCTAGTTGTTCATTTTAAAATGAGCTGCTTGGGGCAATGGCCTCCATCCGGTGACCCCAATTTCCCAGCCTGGGGAGAAAGCAACAAGCTGACCTGGTACCCTGAGAATGCTGAAGGAGCCTGGATCCTTAAGGAGGCTGCTGAGCCTCAAAGTTAGCCCTTCCTTGAACTGCCATACTTCTGAACTGTCGGTAACGTGACTTACTAAATACTGTGACTGTTGAAGGCAGTTTTAATTGAATTTTTTTGACAACTGAAGCTAGACTGCCCAAATGATCAAAACTTACTCATTTTCCTAATGTGCAGTTATATTTAATGCGGGAAATGTACTAAACATTTACTAACATCCATTTTAAGCATCAAAATTGTTGGAGTGATTTATAGCCTACAAACGATTTCATTTAATGGGAGAAAGGTGAGGTTGTCTACTCTTGCAGCGATGTAAAGTCTCGGAAATCCAAAGGGGCAGTTCTGTCTGTGCTATAGGGTCACTGTGAGTGGGAATGCACTTGGTGGTTCGATTTCATTGAAACACATTTGTGATTGTGTGTCAGCTATCAGCTGACATTGCTAACCCAATTAAAGCCAATTATACCTCAGGTGAAAACAACAGTCTTTCTCAAGAGGGATTGTTTTCTTTTAAGGACTACCAACTGATTACTAAGATATTAACCATAAACAAATTACATGATATCAATGTACAAAGTAACGACAAATTAGAATTGAGACAGCATGGATGGAAATGTGGATCTTCTTACAAAAGGGCTTTCACGAGTTCCTGGAAAGTGAGACTAAAAGAACTTTCCCATGAGCCTTTTGAAGCCCCTTGAGATAGCACCAAGACCTGACTATTTTGTCTCTTAACTTTCAGTAGAACGTGAGTCTTTTGCTCCAAACACTGAGTATTTTAAAACGAGGACGCAATTCCATTCACCCCTGAATGGCAAATTAGAAATTTCTGAAATCACGTGATTTTTCCTGCTTATCTGCTGCATAACCAGTGTGGAAGAATGGCTCACGACACTTAAACCATACCTGTATATGAGACACATGCAAATCACTAGCAGATTTCAAGAATGATTGATTCCTGGATTTTCATGACTTGAGGATCTATATTGCTAACCCTGAAAACTATCCCAAACTCCCTGCCATCAAGTGGATTCCAGTCCCTGGCGACCCTAGAGGACTGTCCTGCGGGGTTCTGAGACCGGAAATCTTGGAGAGAGGAGGACCTTCAGCTTCCTCCCTGAGCAGCTGGTGGTTTTCAATTACCGGGCCTTTAACATCCCAACACATTACCCACTCAGCCACCAGGGCTTCCCGAAAATTATAGGAATCAAACATTTAAAATGGATGCCTAGGTTCTAGAATATATATGAAAGGAGACTGAAAACAACCAGGAAAATACATCTAGAATCACCTTCAAGAAGTCGGTCAGAAGTAACTTACTGCATGGAATATTCAGTGACATAAAATAAATACTTTCAAGCTCTGTGCCTTTAGAAAAGGTCTTTATGGAACAGTGATCTCTTTTAGAGTATATGTTTTAAACTTCAGATAGAAAGAAAATAGAAAAACACCTTTTCTCATACCGGAAGATCATCTGTGATGACTCACAATGGCTGTAATGTTCTAAAATTGAGATGCTGCTTGCTAACTTGAAAATATTTTATTTATAGATATTCCGGTCATTTAAAGTTGTAGTCATGAAACAATTGCTGTGTTATCACACAATGTGCTTGCTTAGAGCGATTTTAAAGTGGAGTTCCACCAAAGTGTTGTTATAGCAAAAAACGGATATTTGCTGCTTTAAGGTTTTTAAGAGTTTTGCTTTGTGAAATTCAAGGCTGTGGTGATACAGGGCATCCTCTGCTGGAGAGAGTCTGTTACTGCAACCGTCAGATCTTTGGCGCTGAAGAGACTTGATCTGTCTCTTCAATTTCACAGGCTGGAAATTACCTGGAAGGCTTAAGGGAAGATTTAAAAACTACCTACGCCTGAGCCCCACGTTCCACCAACTGAACACAGCTGTAGGTCATGTCTCAACACCTCACCTGTTGATGATCAATGTTTAGGACATACTGCAATAATTTTTATCATCACCCAGGAAGGCTCACGTGTTTGATATGTGAGAATTTACCTGAGATTGTGTGAGGTACTTAGGTGAAGCAGGAAGGGCTGAGTCTTATTGAATAGGAATAAACAAAAGCGATCATGTATTATTATATTCAGCTCCGTTTACCTTGGGCTTTTCGTCCAGGATCTGCTGACGTATCTCCTTGTGTTTCTCTACCAGTTTTTCTTGCCTCTTACTTTGTGCTTCTTCTAACTACAGAGGAAAGAAAACACAAACTGGGTCATCTTCATTTAAACATTCAAGTGTGAGTATTTAAGAAAAACTTGCAAATTATAGAGATCCACATACAGTACACAATTATTCAGCTCCCGGTCCAGAACCCCCCAGGCTAAATCCACGGCCTCGGAGTCCACTGTGACTCGTGGTAACCACCTTCACAGGACAGAATCGAACTGCCCACAGGATTTCCATGGCTCTGCTCTTTAGGGAAGCAGACTGCCCCAGCTCCCTCCTGTGGAACAACTGGCAAATTTGAACTGGCGACCCTTTGGTTAGAAGCCGAGCAATGAACTACTACCAGGGCGCCTTTCCTACAAGCACAGGAGGCTCTTGCCACGTGGTGATCAGATCTTGCCACGTGGTGATCAGAGAACATAGTGGTGGGAGTAGGGTAGGGGGTGGGGGAAACGAATCGGAGAGTGGTCAATGGAATACACTGTTTTCCCACTTTTATAAATGTTTGAAAGGTCGCACAATGCCAAATTAAAAGGTGTGTGGGCGGGGGCGGCGATTGTCTTTGCGGATTGTCATCTTCTATCACTGGTGACGACTAAAGATCTTTCGGGAAACTTTCCAGTTGGCCTTGTTTCTGGCCTCTGGACTGTGGAGGTTAATCTCGATGATCTGTTCTCAATTGGGTTTTTACAGTGAACCCTCGCCACTTCACGCTTCGACTTCCGCGGCTTCACTCTATCGCGGTTTTTGCGTAACAGCGCATGCTCTGTCATTACTGCCACTGATTGGCTCATACTGTACACGCTTCTGTCTGCATCGCTACGTATCGGAGCTACGTATCAGATGCATTTTTGCTTTTGTACAGTGTACTGTAATTGTTTGCGATTTTTAAGAAATTTTATCTAAGCCCTATGATGGCTCCTAAACGAGCTGCTTCTTCTAAGCCTCTGACAATAAAAATAAGCGCCAGAGGAAGATGCTCACCATCCAGGAAAAGGTAAAACTTTTGGATATGATCAAAGATGGCAAGAAAATCGTGGAGGTTGCACGTCATTTCGACTTGAATGAGTCTTCCGTTCGCTCCATCCATAAAGAGGAAAAAAACATCCGTGCTACGGCTACTTTCACTTTCAACAAGGAAGCAAAGCGCATCGTAACAAGGAATCCTACTTCGCGGAATTTCATTTATCACGGTAGGGTCTAGAACTGATTAACCGCGATAAACGAGGGTTCACTGTATACAGTGGTTTGTCATTAAACGAGCAGAACTGTTTATTTAAAGCGGTTGCTCTGGAAGCAAGTCCACCAGGTGTTGGAGGTCAGAAACGCAAACCCTCCTCAAACATCCACCCAGAGTCTGCAAAGGGAGTGGTGAACCGACATACTCTCTTGATAGACTGCACCACCTCTTGGATATACGAGCGGATCATCTCCGTCTTCTCCCTAGGAAAAAATGAGGAAGAAATCATGAAAGGGACTCACCCCCCACCTACCAGCAGGGGGAATCTCAGACTTCCAGAGGCAGGGGAACTCCTCAACATTCCACTATGACAAGCTTCAAGACACAGCTCTGGGCACAGGTTGGGCCCTGCCCCATGTGCAAGCCTTATTTTAACTAAACACTGGGAGGTCGACTGGCAATCTCTAAAGTGAAGATTTAGCTTTTTCTCAGAGAGAATATCTTTACTCCGTCTTTTTCAGAAGACCCTGGGTGAACCTTGATCCTTTTGGAAGTGCCCTTTGAATTGTCACTGTGGAAAAAGCGTACAAAGGGACCTTTTGAGAGGCTGAGTAGGGAATGAGGGGTTTGCGCACAGTTAGGAATCGGTCGCTTGTTACAGAATAAACAGTTCTAGGTAAAAAGGAATCGGAGGGCCGCCTTCTTTTACTTACTCTTCCATTTGGCTTTTGTCTTTGGATTTGGCTTCCGTAATTTTCTCTTGCCGCTTTTTATCCATTTTCTTCTTTAATTCCTTTTTCTCTCTAAAGTCAAACGGAAAAAGAGACAAATCAAACGGCGCTCTGTATTCAGTCAAGGCGACAGGACACTGTAACGGGCTTGGCCATGGCTTACTTCTCACAGAGTTCCTTGAGCTTCTTTAACTGGTTGTTCTGACACTCCTCCGCCACATCCGTCAACTTCTGGATAAGCTGAGGGAAGACAATGCCAGTTTGCTGTTTTACACGATTACAAAGCACTTCCTCCCCCAACAACAGCCTTGGTAGTGAGACTGTCTGTGACTGATGATTGCAGGTGGCGCCAATGGCCAGACACTCACCACTGCCAGTGAGGGCATCCTTTGAAATCAGCACGTTCTCTAAGCTGATCGGTTTTAGTAGTACGTGCTTATGATCTTTTTAAATTTCAGGGACTTCATTAGAAACTATTCTGGTGACTGAAGCTTGGGTCAGTGCAAAAGCAAATGACCAGGTGGTCTCAGGTTCCAATCAACATGACTTCTTACATGGGTGATCTGGGACAAGGGACCTACATTTTTTGGAACCTATAATTTCTTGGTCATAAAGGAGGTTATTAGGGTTAATATCTTTGAGAACGGAGCCCCTAGGTGGAGCAAATGGCTAAGCATTTGGCTGCTTTCTGAAAGGTTGTGTGTTCAAGTCCACCCAGGGGTACCTTTGAAGAGAGACTCGGTGATCCATTTCCAAACGAGCACAGCCTGGGAATCCCTATGGAGTACAGTCCTTGACCTGTGATGTTGGTGCTATTCTCCTGATTTTATATCCGAAGGAAATGAATTACGAGGCTGTGCAGACTGAGTACAAACCCAGACAACTGTGTTCGCTGACTGCTCTTGGCCTTCTGCACCATGTCATGCTATCTTTTATTGCAATTTTAAAAAGGCATTTTTAGAAAACCTTTTTTTTTAATCGAAGATAATTTGAGTGGGCAATTATGAAATTCTTACAGAGTTACAGCAAAGAACCCACCTTAACTCAAAATTGATATGAAAATTAATGCATTCACCTAAGACGTAGGTGAGCTCTGAGCAAACATTAATGAGTGTGGGGTTGGCCAACAGAAAACCTTCACATCATTCAGAAGAGATGGCCTGATCATGACCCTCACAATTCAAATCATCACTAACAATTACAGATCGGCAGTGACTTTTATCAAACGTGGTGGTGGTGGTGAGGTGCCGTGAAGCCTGCGCCAACTCACAGCAGCCGCACATAACAGAAGGAAACACTGCCCGTCCCCCACCATCCTCGCAATTGCTTTCAAGTTCCAGGCCAGCACTGTAGCCACTGTGTCAACCCCTCTGGTGCAGGGCCTTCCTCTTTTCCCGCTGCCCTGCTACTTTCCCAAGCACATGGCCTTCTCCGGGGACATCTCTCTGCCACTGAGGAGCTGTATCGTTCCAGTGTGAAAAGCCCTCCGCCATCTCCTCAGGGGCACCGATGAAAGCTCTATTCTAAGTGGAGGCCTGTGCGCTTCTCAGGAACTGGCTCCTCCTCCACCCACTCTAAGTCCTTCATGGGCTGTTCAGGGGCTGTGACTGTGACTACTCAGAATCATTTGGGGAAACGTCTCTAATGTTTGCCTTCCATGATACGTAAGGACGGGTCCAGCGGAGCGTGTAAAGCAACGCCTGGGCATTCCAAGCATTCCCTCCCATGTTTCTTGCTCACAGACGGCCCCCCACCCCCACCCACTCTCACCCACCTCTACACACACCTTCCCTCTAGTTAAAAGCCTCCGTGCATGTCACAGGCCACGTCCAATCCCAGGAGGGTGCAGCACCAGGACTGCAGTGGCCCTCTCTTAGATTGACTGGCTTCCCGGCCTCCCAGACCCACCAGAACGGGCACCATCTGGGGACCCTCTCTGCTTGCCATTACAGACTGAATCCAGAAGCAGCCAGGCTGATTCTGGGTGAGTGCTTATTTGAGTTTCTCTTTCTCGGGTTCTCCGCCGTCTCGCGGTGGCCTTTTGACAATCCTGGTACCAGATTGGATAACTCTAAGCCCCCAGGGCTCTGGTTGCACTGACTGGAGGACAGCCTCCTGGTCTGCTGCCCACTCTCCTCCCTACACTTGACATGGCCTCGAACTGACTCATCGAGCACGCTCCCTGAGCCTGTTGCTCTTCTGGAGCTCAAATTTTACTCAAACCACCCCCCCCACCACCACCACCATGGGAAGTACCCAATCTAAGCTGCCCCCAAATTCGCCTCTGCAGTGCCTACTTGCTAATCTTAAACCTCTGGGTCTAAACCCAGTCGTTAAGCCTAAATGCCTAATTTTCCTTTGTAAGCAGATTTGGCCTCAATACAAATTAGACCAGTGGTTCTCAACCTTCCTAATGCAGAGACACCTTTAGTACAGTTCATGTTGTGGTGAACCCAACTATAAAATGATTTTGTTGATACTTCATAACTGTAATTTTGCTACTGTTAAGAATTGAGTGACCCCTGTGAAAGGGTCATTGGGCCTCCAAAGGGGTCACGACCCACATGTTGAGAACTGCTGAATTAGACAATAACTCAAGAGGACCACAAGATGGCACTCTCGATTTTACAGCCCTCGGGGACCCAGATAGTTTCTGTAGACACAATGGCAAGTTTCTAGAAGTTCCCTATGAACAGGCCTTTTTCTACTTTCATTCTCACCTTATCTATGTCAAAACTGCTGGCTCAAAAAAAATTAAAAAACAAAAACAAAAAACTGCTGGCTCAGGAGAGCCACCTCTCCCGGACAATCAATCTTCTTTTGATCCTTAAGACCATGCTCCTCCGCCCACAGTCGTACCTGCCATCCCTTCTCCCCCACCTCCATCTTCTCCAGCTTTTTCTCCTCCTCCTCCTTATAATGTTCTTCCAGTCTCATGTTTAGCAACCCCCACCCGGCTCCTACCGCCTCCTCTGCCTTGCCATTCTCTGATCACCCATCTCCTCCACCGTTGGCCCCACCCCATTCTTCATCACCATTTGCCTCCCACCACTGCCAGCTTCTACAGTCTCCTCCTACTCTCTCCTGCCATTGTCTTCACCCCACACCCGTCTGTGCTCAGCCCTTCCCTGACCAAAGCCTCTTCTATATATCTAATAATTCCACCTTCAGACCCTGCCCCTCTCCTCCCTCTCTGCGAGGTCGCAGGGGCTGAGGGACTTGTTAGGGTCCCATAAACCTTTTTCTCTTTCTGATCTATACATGTGGGACCCTTTTCCTCTGACCCGGACACTTATATTAAAGAGTTCAGATATCTCACTGAGTCTTATGAGCTTACCTGACCTGATATTACATTAGTCTTACAACTACTGTATCCCCTGAAGACAGGGAGAGAGGCTGGGTAGTGGCCCAGCAGAGAGGTGATGAAATTCATATCCGGGACCAGACTAAACTGGACCAGGAGACCCTCACTGGAATTGTCAACTCGGTCTTAGGGACCACACTCTCCGAGATGAAATGGTTAAGCACCTTATTGAAGGTTTACAAAAGATGGATAATAAATCAGTCAATTATGACAAGATGAGAAAAATCCTTCAGGAGCCCAAAGAAAATCCTGCCCAGTTTCTATCTCCCCTCTCAGAGGTTTCCCATAAGTTCACCAGGGTTGATCCCTCAATACCAGCTGGCACCACTTTACTTCATTCACACTTTAGCTAAGTCAGTTCCTGACATTCAGAGGAAGCTTAAAAAGCTGCAGGATGGTCCTAAAACTCCACACTGAGACCTTCTCAATGCAGCTTTTAAGGTTTCCAATAATGGAGAGGAACAGGAAAATTCACATAAATGACATAGGGACAAAGCTAAATATCAGATGCTGGCTAACACCCTTTAGGGCAAATGGGTGAATCCAGACCAATAAACACTGAGCTACAAACAGGTCAACCACCTGGATCGGTGCTTTAAATGTGCCCGCACTGAAAACAAGGAGGGCACTGGGAACTTAATTGCCCTTTCGGCCAGAGGGCGGGAAGGATAGTCTCTTTCAGAATACCTCCAGAGCAACTAGCTCAAGACACCAAATTGTCAAGGCTTCTAAGCTTGGCCACAGAGGATCAATGGTGTCCAGTGTCGACAGCCCCCACGGAGATCACCTATTATGAGCCCAGGGTAACGATCATTGTGTGAGGTAGGCATATTTCTTTCCTTTTGATAGAGTTCCACTTATTCAACACTACCTGAACATTCAGGGCAAATGTCTGTAGCACCCACCGCTATTGTAGGACTCTCAGGTATAGTCTCACCACCCCTCATGACACGGCCACTCTTCTGCAGTCTTTATAATGTACATTTCTCACACCGGTTTCTCACACCCCCAAATCACTCATCCCTCTATTGGGCAGAGATAGTCTTACTAAATTGAAAACTAGTAACTTTTCATTGACCGGGGCTTCCCAAGCTCCAAACCTGTGGCTTCCTTACAAGCTGCACCAGATGACACCCCCACCAACTCCCCTCCTTTACCCTGCATTCTGGTTAACCCAAGATTTTGGGATGTCACCTCACCCACTGTTGCTCTGCATCACCAACCTGTTTACATCAGATTGAAAGACCCCTCAAATTTTCCTAATGTTTCTCAATACCCTATAGCTCACCCAAACCTGAAGGGTCTTGTCTATTTCAGTGTTTTCAAAGTTTTTTTTATAGGAACACATCAACCCCTAAAGCGCTAACTGGACCTTATGGAGTGGGACAGCTAGAAGCCTTCCACAGCCCACCTCCAGCAGGAAGCTTTGGCCCTATTCCCTCTTATCAAAAGGTAGGAGTGGTGGGTCCAGCTGAGTGTGAAATGACGCCTGGCCATTCCAAGAGTTCCCTCCTACATTTCTTGCTCACACTCTCTCCATCCCCACCCTGCACCCTGCCCAACACACCTTCCCTCGGGCTCAAGAAGCCTCCCATGAGTGCCATAGGCCACGCCACTCCCTTTATTCAAACTTGCCAACCAGGGAACTACAGGATGCTCTCCCAACCCCAGCCACTAGCCTCCACCCCCGAGGTTATTAGGTTACATTTGTCTGTGCCCTTCTTTGTGTGGGCACTACTGTTCCATTTTTATGGTAGCCCAGAGACTGCACTTCCCAATAAAGCCTGTGACTGATACCCGCATTTCCGCTCAGTCCTTTTTCTGACGTGTTCCTGTGCCTATGGAGTCTCCGCATCTCTGGGTTGGGCCGATCATC